AAAAAAGAAAAAACTGAAGTTTTTATTTAAATGTAAAATAAATTGGAAGTATATGAACTTCTTTTGATTCAAAATATTTAGGCTTATTGCAAATTTACTTTGAAATCGCATTTTAAAAACAGCAGTCACACAAAAAAGTTTAGATTGTGACATTTCTTAGGTCAAAAAGGGGACATAAGTTTAAGATAGTATCTGTGTTTGCACAGTTCTCAACTATCCCAGGGTCTTGTTCCAGCAAACATTTATTCTCTCACCCTCTCCCTCCACCCCTTCCCCACTCCTCTCCATCAGGGCCGTCCTTTAGCCTAATTATATGATGAAATCTTCAAAAGTCTCTATAGTCATGACCCTCTCTCCTCCATTCACACCAAGCTCCTTGAAAGCATATTCAGTATTCATTGCATTGTGTCGATTCCTTCCCCGCCTGGATACATTGAGTCCATAGCACCTGGCCCTGACCTCCCCTGTGCTATTGGAATGGCCCTAAATCTCATCAGTCATCAGTATCAGAAACATTTTAGTCTCCCCATTATTAGCCTTTCTGTATTTCTGACCCTGTTGATAGACTCCTGTTTTTGGAAATTCCCTCCTTTGGCATCCCTAACGTACTTCCTGTTTCTCGGCCTCTTCTATGGGTTCCTACTTTACTCTTCCTGCACCACCCCATAAGCCAGTGGTTCTCGACCCTGACTGCATCTTAGAATTACTTGGGTATCTTTGTAAAATCTCGTTGCCCAGATCCTGTCCCAGTCCACTTAAATCAGATCTCTCGGGATGAGACCTAGGTATCACTATGTTTTAAAGTTTCCCAGTCTATTCCAGTGTGCAGCCAAGGCTGAGAATTACTTTCCCAAATGCTAGCTTCCAAAGAGTTCCATCCTTGACCCTCTTCTATTCACTAGGAAAGAATCTATTTCCATTATTTCAACCGCCCCCTTCACGCTAGGGGTGCTCTAGTCCCACCTCCAACCCATGCCTCTCTCCGAACCTCCTCCATTTAGGACAGTTTTCAGAATTTTATCCAGAATTGAGCTCATCATCTTTCATTCTCACTTATATTCTTTCTCAGAGAATGACATCTCTGTCCACCGACTTACTCCAGCCAAAAGTGTTATGTTACATTTCATTTCTCTGAAACCCAAACCCAAAAGACTCATATTCCTCCCTCCTCTACACTCCAGCAAAAATATTTGACAGTACAGTATTTGGTTTACATTTGCATTTCCCTCTCGTTGGGCTGAAAAATCCTTGAAGCGAAGGATTGTATCTTAATTCTTCTTGTATCTTCAGAGCCTGACATATAGCAAATGCTCGGTAAAGATTAAATCAATGTCATCTTGCTTTAATAAGACTCACAATGTTCACAGAATCCATTCTAAACAGAAATTGAAATAAGTAATTTTTTTTTTTGCTTTGGGCTATTTGATAAGGATTTGTTAGGATTATTTGTTTCATGGGAACAGGTGCATCTTCCTCTATTTCCCATTCGATTCATTAACAACTTGTGTTGATAGACTTCTGTTAGTCTTATCTTTCAGGGGTTGAGGTTAAAACCTGGTTTACTGGAACTACCCTTTAAAAAACTTTCAGTAATTATTTGCTTTTTAGTTTTTACAGAATGTTAACAGTTTACAGTTTGATTTACACATTGATTGATAGCCTTGAATTTAATTTATGATCCTATCACTCTTAATTCTTTTGTCTTTGGGCTTGCTACAAGTGAAGCTACTCTACGACTTTTTTAAAAAATATCCTTGATTGGCTTTCAAAACAAAACCAACTCAAAATTGCCTCCAATGAATTAAAAATGCAACTAGGATCCGGGATTATGCAAAGCACTTTGAGGA